CCGTGGGTGCGACAGAGACAGAGCCTCTGCGAAATCATACCGAGCCTCGTGCCGAGCCCGCCGGCGCTCCCGGCGCGGCTGCTGGAAGGGCTGCTGGAAGGGCTTGCTGGAAGGTGCGGCGCTCGAGAGAGGTTCCCTATTGTGAGAATGGCCCCCGCAGAGGGCAGTTTAGCATCAGGCCGCGCCGTGGCCGCAGCTCACTGAGGAGGAGGACCTTTATTGGAGTGGCGAGGCGCTGCGAGGCCAGGCGGGCCGCCTCGCTGGACTCGGCCGGTATAAAGGCGGATTTACGGTGTGCTTTGCACTTGAGCGGACCCCGACCTTAATTTTCATAACGTGTCGAGCTTCCACGGCCTTACACCCCGAGGCGCGCTCCTCCCAGATATGTAAGTGACACCAAATTAGATTCCACGGGGGGAGGGAGGGGGTGGTGGTAACGGGTTGCAGAGCGCGCCGATGGGCTGCACGCACGGGGGGGGGGGGGGGGGGCAGGCCGGGCGGCAGGCAGCGGTGGGGGAGGCGACACGTAAGTTAGGGCTACTAATTTGGCGCTGTCAGGTGACGCGCGCACCACACAATACTCTTCAATATATCAGCTTTATCTCGGCGTCGGGCCCGTCGGGGAGGGGACGCCAACAACGAGACGACGCCCCCCCCCTTCCCCCCCCCCCTCCCCCTTCCCCCCGGCCTGCCGCCGACTCGAAACCGTCGTCGGTTTTCGATGGCGCTGCGGAGTGCGCTATTTATAGACATGAGGCCGTTTCCCTGTATGGAAAGGGTTGCGCCGGCAGCTGGAAAGCTGAATGGGGGAGAGGCTGGGGGAGTGACGGGAAGCCTTTTTGAATGCGCAAGTGGAGGTCGTTTGCGTACAGACGTTGATGAGAGTTACAGTTTCCCTACTCGGATACAGCAGAGGTAGCTCTTTGGACCCCCAACCGTGTCGCATTCGCTGAAAAGCAGTGCAGCTGCGCGTGTTTCGTTGCGTGGCCCATGCGTGGCTCTCTGCCCTTGATCGCCTCGGAAGCCACACGACACAAGCAGTCCCTGCGCGTCGTCCCAGGGCCGGGAATCCCAACTACCAATTTTACCGTGCAGTGACTGGTGAAGTTTCGTGAAGCTTCCGAGCAGTGTAGGCAGACCCCGCGCCGCCTTATGCATGGACTCCGAGGCGCGGCCCGGTGGCCCGGCGAGGGCTATGCGCCCACTATCGCACTGGAACCAACCCGAAAGAAAGGCGACAAAACTCGTTCCCGAAACGTCACAGCCGCGAAGCGCGAAGACAATGTAGTGGTTTCCGGGAGCTTGCAGGCGGAGGCCGGGTGGGACCGCGGGTGGGGGTCGGGGGCCGCGAGCGGAGGTCCCAGGGGACGGAGCCCCATCTGCACCACAGGGCCGGCCAACTCTCCTCTGCTCAGGAGCTGCATCGCCCGAGAATTTTTTTCCTTTATTTAAAATTAAAAAAAGGGCCCAGATGATTTTTCTTAATTTCTGAGACAGTCCAGTTCGTTGCATTCCCATCATGCAATGTATAGAAGGGGATTCGATTTTATATTATGATCCGAGTACGATTTTCGGACTCGAGAAGGTTTCAGTTCTACCTCTATGCACGACTAATCCTTTTTCCGTGTAGCTCTTTGGACCCCCAACCGTGTCGCATTCGCTGAAAAGCAGTGCAGCTGCGCGTGTTTCGTTGCGTGGCCCATGCGTGGCTCTCTGCCCTTGATCGCCTCGGAAGCCACACGACACAAGCAGTCCCTGCGCGTCGTCCCAGGGCCGGGAATCCCAACTACCAATTTTACCGTGCAGTGACTGGTGAAGTTTCGTGAAGCTTCCGAGCAGTGTAGGCAGACCCCGGCGCCGCCTTATGCATGGACTCCGAGGCGCGGCCCGGTGGCCCGGCGAGGGCTATGCGACCCACTATCGCACTGGGAACCAACCCGAAAGAAAGGGCGACGAAAACTCGTTCCCGAAAACGTCTACAGCCGCGAAGCGCGAAGACAATGTAGTGGTTGTCCGGGAGCTTGCAGGCGGAGGCCGGGGGTCGGGACCGGGGGGTGGGGGTCGGGGGCCGCGAGCGGAGGTCCCAGGGGACGGAGCCCCATCTGCACCATCAGGGCCGGCCAACTCTCCTCTGCTCAGGACGCTGCATCCGACCCAGAAAGAATTTTGTTTCCTTTATTTAAAATTAAAAAAAGGGCCCAGATGATTTTTACTTAATTTCTGAGACAGTCCAGTTCGTTGCATTCCCATCAATGCAATTGCAATATAGAAAGGGGATTCGATTTTATATTATGATCCGAGTACGATTTTCGGACTCGAGAAGGTTTCAGGTTCTCTGCGCTCCTCAACGGACGCCTCTTCCTTCGCTGAAAATCGTTCTCAACGGTGTTGGTTCTCGTTAGTAGTTTCACGTCTGAGTGACGTCGTCTTGACCACTGGTCCAGGAGAATTGGCCCGATCCATAGTCGCCGGATCCTCTTGCATTCCACAAAAAGGAAAATGGGGTGGCCTGCCGATCCTCGCCGTGTCGGGCGGGGCGGCCCCGCCTCCCCTGCCGCCTGCCTGCCTGGAAGAAACTAACTGATTAACCCGCGTCATTAATTTCCGCTGCTCCTCCGGGAAGAGGAAAGGGAGGGGGAAGAGGGGGGGAGGAAGGGGGGGGGGAGTCGCTGAAAACTTGCACATCGAGAGGCCGGGCTGGGGCGCAAGGCCCCGCTTTTGTTCGTGATTTATGTGGTCCGGGAGTGCAGGAGTCGGAGTGGGAGAGAGAAAGAGAGGGGGGGGGGCTGTGGACAGGGGAGGAGATCGCAGGGGTGGTGATCGCGGGGGAGAGAGGGGGGGCTCGTCGAGCCTCGCGTCAAGCTTGCTGCGCGATGAACGGGAAACGAGGTGCTCCCGTTTGCCGCTCTCCCTGGTGGTGCTGCTGCGCGTCACGCGGCCCTTCTTTCTCCCCACAACATGCTGAAACTGAAAGCATTTCCGACCATGATACATCCTCTTGTTTTTGCCCATGGCAGCAAACACGACTTGTCACCTAATAAAAGCAAAATATGCAGCCGACACGGCGGCGGGGAGACTGAATTTTCGCAGACACCGCCCCTCGCCGTTTTGACGAAGCGATCTGGTTTCAGTGTGCTGCGGAGCATAGACCGTTTCTAAAAACAAAAATATATGTTGGCAACAACTGTACTACGATGGAAACAGTTCGGCGAAAACCGCCTTGCGCCGAGCCGCAGACCCATCCCGTCTGAGCGCCGAAGCAGGTGCACGCACCCGGCAACGCGTGATTGCGAAGCGCCTCCAAGCCTCCGCCAACTTCGGCGCCGTCTCGCGTGAGCACGCCGACCTCCCCCTCCCCCTCTCTGTCCTCGTGTTGTGGAAAACGAGTAATCAACTGATCCGCGGATGCAGGGCGGGCAAGGTGCGACACGGAATGAAGCAACTTCTGTGTCGTGTGCCGGAAAGAGGTCGTTCTGCCGCGCCCCGCGACGCGTTTCCGTCTTGGAGAGCAGCGCGATAATTGGACTTGCCGAAGCGTGGACCCGGACGAGTTGCATCTCCCCGTGTTTCACTCCTGGAAAATGGCAATAATTGGACTTGCCGAAGCGTGGACCCGGACGAGTTGCATTTCCCCGTGTGTCCTCCTTGGAGAATGGCAATAATGGACTTGCCGAGGCGTGGACCCGGACGAGTTGCTTCTCCAGGGGCATCTTTCCAACGCTGTTTTCCTCTTTCGCAATGAACGTGTGCTTTTGCATGCGGAAAAGAGGTGCCGGCCTGCACACTGGACCGGCCCCCATTGTTAGGGGCTGGAGGCCCTCCAAGCTGAAGGGCCCCAGGTGGCTGATTTACGGGAGCAGCCCTTATCGGCGTGCTAATTAGGGAGTCCCTTAACAAACCGGTCACGATCGCTAATTTATTAAGTAGTCTCGTCTTTTTAATCTGCACCCGAGATAACCCGCTGCGTGTAATGGCCGTCACGTGCCGTCGGCCCGGTAACGACTCCCCACTCCAGCACTTGCTCCAGCAGCCCCTTCCCCTCCAGGCCCTTTGCGCCCTTTTTATCCCCGAGTCCCACTTGGATACTATAACGCGTTGCTGCCAAACTTTGCGCAAGTCGGCCTTGAACGCCAAGAAACGGGCTGCCGATATTCTCCCCCCCCCCCCCGCCCCCCTCTCCGCCCCAGACTCTGGCGCCCACCCCAGGGCGCCACCACCGTCTCGCTCCGTGCTTGTTGTGTGTTCGCGGATCCGTGGCGCGCGCACGTACGGTTGGGCAAGCATAATACTTAAGTTCCATCAACTGTGCCGAGGGTATACACTCCAATTAGTCATACGCCGGACCTTCCTCCATTACGAAAACAAGGACACAAGCTTAAGTGCGAACGTAGTTTTTGGCAGATGACACCTTTACTTTACTTTAAACATACTTAAAACTACAAGGTTCATAAAATGAAGATGTCAGCTTGCTTTTATTATGATGTGGATTTTCCTTTGCATACCTTACAGTTAGCAAAGAACAAAATTGATGGTGGAATTCTGCATTTTGCTGCATTTAACACACTGTGGACTCCATTTCAATGCAAGTTAGCAGCAAGTGCCGCGCGAGAGCCTGTTATGGAGCCCGACTAAAATAAGTTCCAAATTCTTATCCGATTGATTTAAATTAAAAGAAGCATTTCTTGTTTGAGAGTGTACAGAAAAAATTGTCTGACGACAGGATTTCTCGGATCGAACGCTGGGTGAAAAGAAGACGACCACATGCCTTGCGTTTTTTTTCTTTTTTCCTCCTTTTTTTTAAAGGTGCAGTCAACTTGCTTGCTTTCCGGCGCCTGCCCGAGGCGGGCCGAGGCGGCCCGACACTTGTCGGCATAGCTCCCTTTGACTCGGTTCTAGGTCGCCGCTAATTGCAGCCCCGCCAGAGGCGAGGCCGGCGAGGCCGGCGAGGCGCCTTCCTTCCTTCCGACACTCAACCGTGCGTGTGTGTGTGTGTGTTCCAGGAGTCGCCGCCGCGCGCCTCGCGCAAGGGCGCCAACACCTCGCCGTCGCCGTGCCGGCCGGACCGCGGCACGGACCCGGCCTGCTGGACGCCGCCGCCGCCCCCCGCCGCGGACTCGCCCCTGGACCCGCTGCCCGCCATCGACCTCGCCGTGAGTGTGGCACGCGCCTCTGCGAGCACAGCCCCTCCCCGCGCCCCCCGCGCGACTAAGGGGGAGTGATCGGGTCCGCTCCACCGGCCTAGCGAGGCGCGGCATGAAATATTTGCCGCCCGTCGCAGCCAATGCACGGCGGCGCCGTCAAGGCCACGTGTTGGAGAAGCCCGACGGTGACAGGTCCCGGCGAAGGCCGAGTCCGACCCCGTGGTGCCTCGTGGTTGCTGGGCCCCGCCAGCGCGCCAGCGGCTAGACACGCCGGACTTTGCTAAAGCCGGCGAGAACGGAGGCTGACCACTGACACGGCCAGCACACTGATTCCGAAGATTCGTGTCGTCGCTCCGTCTCCCTCGCACTCTCGGGGCGTTCTGTGCAGGTGCGGGAGAGACAGAGCGACCCAGTGAGTCTCCGGAATGGCTCGGCTGACAGCTTGGCGGACAGCTTGGCGTAGGGCCAGAAGAGAACCTCAGCGCGCTGTGCGCGGGGCGGGGTGGGATCGAGGTGGGCGGAGCGGAGGGGACGCTAAGACGCAGCCGACCTGAACGCGTCGCCGCCGCCACCGCGCAAACCCCTCGGAGTGCCTGCCCTGCCTGCAGACTTGATTCCGTTTGTCTCTCTCCGTCTCTTTGTCTCTGTCTCTCTCTCCCTCTCTCTCCGTTTCTCTGTCTCTCTCTCTCTCTCTCTCTCTCTCTCTCTCTCTCTCTCTCTCTCCTCTCTCTCTCTCTCTCTCTCTCTCTCTCCTCTCTCTCTCTCTTCTCTTTCTCTCTCTCTCTCCTTTTCGTCTCTCTCTCTCTCTTCGTCTCTCTCTTTCTCTCTCTCTCTCTCTCTCTCTCTCTCTCTCTCTCTCTCTCTCTCTCACTCACTCACTCACTCCTTGGGCGTCCCGTGTGGGTACGAGAGAGACAGACCGTTTGGAAGCAGCCCGCCGCCACGAGCGCTATGACCCCAGTCTGGCTCCAGGCGCCCGCCTGGGGAGGGGATCCTCAATACATTAATTGGAAAGCGAGAAGGCGGTGGCCTGATGGTGCAGGTGCTGTGGTGTAGGAGCCTCAGACTCAGAGAACAGACGGCGCGCGGGCGGGGCGGGGTGGATGGGACTCGGTGGGAGCGCTCACCCGCACCATCATGAGGATATGCACGTTCAGACGCAGCATTCAGAGGGTCGGCCTAATGAGTGTAAGTTGGGGTACCCGTGGCGCCACCATGCGGCGGTGCTAAGAAGCTCTGTAGCCAACCTACTAAACATTAAACCTAGAAGATGTTTAAAAAAATGAGACGTTTAGCTGCAGAATTTTTTTGCCTTTTTCTGACAATTATTAAGCCATTCCAAGTCCATTTGGTTTTTTTCTATTTGAGGAAACGTAAGAACAAAATGATTGTGTGTGAAGTTTGCAGCGGGCCCCGAGCAGAGAAAATAACCCTACTTAACGTACGAATTGTCAAGCAATTATTCGATCGAGGCAACAGTATTTTTTGTAATGTGGTATTGTCAAGACGGCGATAACAACTTCGTCAATTAAATAAATAACTAGTGAACACCTGACTTTGTCACAGCTATGGTCACAATACCATAACAACCCCGATCACGGGACAGTTCCTAGCCCTTCCGCATGGTGGCGTCGTGTCGTCCCCTGCGAGTGTAGGCACAAAGCAGGCTCGTACCGACCCTCTGAATCTGAAGTCGCATCCAAACGAGCTTGACCTGATTCACGTTCCGGAGAGTGTTCGTTGTATGGCCGCCGCTGCTGCGCAAAATTACTTTGTGCTGGGCTTCGACACGCACGGTTTCGTGGAGAGCGGTTGCAACACCACGACAAAGCTGTGCGCGCGGCGTTCGGGCCAGTAGCTGGCAATCAGAGAGTCCAATCGGGCGGTTTCTATGAACCGTTCCACCGCAGAGCATGGCTTCGGTTCGACCCGACCCGAAACGAACCGAAGGCTCGAGCGGTTTCCCGTCAACCGGCAGGTTGAAATGGCGGAGCGGTGCGTGTTTGACGACGGCGGGACGGACGCTGTTCGGCAGCCGTTGGGGAGGCGGTCCGAGGACGCACGAGTGCACCCGAGGGGGTAAACACTCCGGTGAACCTTGTACAGACTACTCCCTATTACGCATGTATTACGCCTCGATTTCATTGGAAAATGACATTTTTTGGTTATTTTGGTCCCAAAATGTATTACTATTACGCGTATTAGGGCGTAATACCCGACTTTCGTGTACATGGTATTACGCAAGTGTTTACCCCCTCAAGTGCACCTCGCCTGCCTCGGCTACTTCCGAATCCTCTGCGTCTCTCTTGCACTGGGCGGTTACTGGGAACCGCCCGATTGGACACTCTGCCTGGAAATTGCCTTCAAAGGGAATAACCGGTGCAGAATATAGCGCGACGGAGCAGCGAGTCCAGGATGGAGTCCAAGAATTGGGAGATGGAGGTGCGCCGTGCCAAAGCAGCGTTCGGCCAGGCCCCAGCTTTGGACCAAGCTCCCCGGCCAAGTTCGTACCGCAAGGGTTGGGGGAGGTGGCAGCAGGTGTTTTCATCCCCAATCCATTTTCCCAGAAAATTTGACGGCGTCTGAAAGGCAGGCAAAAGTCCACGTTTTTTGCCCCTGCATGTACACAACGAACGCACGTGCTCCTTTGATCACTTTAAATTAGAAAAATACCTCGCCCAAAATCTACTCTCAGTGATTAAATTGTTTTGGAGGGGGAATCATGATTTCGTTTCTTTGCCTTCGAGTGTCACAGCCAGTGCCGGATCCAGAGGCGGCCTATGGGGGGGCAAAGTCGTACTTTTTGCCTACTTACAGGGGCAAAGTAGCAATTTTTGCCTACCTTTCAGGCGGCTATCTAGGGGCGGGGGGGGGGGCAAAAACCCATTGCCCCCTCCCCCCTGTATCCGCGCCTGGTCATAGCCATAGTGCCGTGCCGCTCTGTGCCCTCCAGGTGGGCGGCGAGCCGGTGGGCCGCGTGCGCCGCTTCCTGCGCGCCTTCCACCGCGAGCTGGGCGGCCGCGACCCGCCGCACGCCCCGCCATGGGCGCCGCCGCTGCCGCCGGGCTGCATGGCGCCAAACCGCATGGACCCCGCGGTGTGCATCGTGGCGCCGCCCGGGCCGGGCGACCTCCACGGCGGCCTGCAGGGCCTGCAGCAGCGCCTCGACATCCGCCTGGAGCAGATCCTGGCCCCCGTCCGCACGCACGACGGCGGCGTGCTGGAGGCGCCCCGCCGCGTGCTGGTGGAGGGCGGCCCCGCCATGGGCAAGACCACGCTGGCGCTGCGCTTGCTGGCGGCCTGGGCCGAGGGCGCGCCCTGGATCCCCCCCGACGTCACCCTCGCCTTCCTCGTGCCGCTGCGCGAGCTGCGCGGCAACACCCTGGCCAACTACCTGGGCAAGCAGCTGCTGCCCAAGTCCGCCGTGGCCGCCAACTTCGATAAGGTCAGTACTGCGATTGCGGAGTGAGCCAACCCCTCTTGGCTTTCAAGAGCTGCAGATTCCCACTGAAAGGCCCTCTTCCTTAAATAACGTCTTCGTCACTGAAATGTGCATACATACCCGCCGCACCCAAGGTAACGGGGCAAACGAGAACGCCACTCCCACTCCATCATTCAATGTGCGGTCGCGCCTGCCGCATTTCAGGCTCTCGCTGAGAGCCCTCTCCTTCCCTTTCATTCCTGACGTCATTCCGAAAGCGGAAGTCCGGACCGAGCCTCGTTATTCGTTCCCACTCGGGTGAAAGGCGCAGTCTCTGTTGCGCGAGAGATCGCTGCCGCCGGTGCTCCAGCTGAACGAGCTTAACGACTTGCTGCAGGTTTGGCGCACGCTGCTGGGCCTGGAGGAGCGCCTGCTGTTCGTGCTGGACGGCTACGACGAGGCGGTGCGCGGCTACCCCGGCGTGCCGGGCGGCCGCGAGGCGCTGGGCGACGCGCTCGACCTGCTGGAGGGCCGCGTGCTCAAGGAGGCGCGCGTCGTGGTGACGTGCAACTCGGGCTGGGCCGGCGACGTGGCCGCCTACATGCACCGCCGCGTGCTGCTGAGCGGCCTGCAGTGGCCGCAGGTGGACGCGCTGTCGCGGGCCTTCCTGGAGGACGACGACGCGGCGGACCGCTTCATGGACGCCGTGCACGCCTCGGACGTGCTGCAGCCGCTGGCGCGCGCGCCGCTGGGCTGGATGGCGCTGTGCGCGCTGTTCCAGGACACGCAGGACCTGCCCGAGGAGCCGCTCGAGCTGCACCAGGCGCTGTTCCGGTGCGTGGTGCGGCGCAGCCTGGCGCGCAGGGGGCAGACCCTGCTGCCGCCCGTCGGCCAGTCCTCGTCCGACATCCCGCCCCACAGCAGGAAGGTGCTGGCCGACCTGGGCCGCCTCGCGCTCGTCGCCATCAAGGACGACCGCTTCATGTACACGGACAACGAGCTGCGCGTCCACTGCGGGTCGGTTGAGTACTGTTGTTTGTTCGACAGCGCCACGCCACGGGGCGCGCTCGATGAAAGTCATTCTATGCCGCAGCTCCGCCGCGGGCGTGGCCTCCCTGGGCTTCCTCTGCCGCGGCCTCAACTTCGGGCGCGCCGCCGCCTCGCGCCGCGCCATGGAGTTCTACACGCCCGTGTTTCGGCCCATGGCCGAGTTCCTGGCCGCCTACTACGCGGCCTCGGTGGCGAGCTACGCCAACATCCTGCGCCGCGACCTGCAGATGCTGCCCGGCCTGGCGGAGGGGCTGGTGGAGGGGCTGGCGGAGGGGCTGTCCTCGCGGACCATCCGGCCCACGGAGACGGTGCTGCTGCTCCTGCTGGGGCTGCTGGGCCGCCGAGGCCACCTGGTGCTGAGCCAGTTGTCGCCCCTGGACGCGACGCCGCGCTCCGTGTTCCCGCTGCTGCGCGCCGCCGGCGCCACCGAGGACAACGTGGACGCCGTGTGCCGCCTGCTGGGCGCCGCGGGCGGCCCGGCCATCGCTCCGGACTCCACCCAGGTAGGGCTGTCGGCCTCAGGCGGCTCCCTCTCGGGCTTTCGTCGCCAACGAGTGCCTGAGTGACTTTGTACGTCCTTTGTGCGGCATCTATTTGTCCGACCTACCGAAATTCGTCCAGCCTACTTCCCTCTAAAATTTTTGTACGAACTCCTTTTGTCCGAACTAAGGCTAGCCTTCTCTTGCATCGCCATTTCTTTCTCCGACCTATGGTTTGTCCGATCTAAGGCTAGCCTTCTCTTGCATCGCCATTTCTTTCTCCGACCTATGGTTTGTCCGATCTAAGGCTAGCCTTCTCTTGCATCGCCATTTCTTTCTCCGACCTATGGTTTGTCCGATCCACGGTTTGTCCGACCTGAGAAAGAAATGGCGATGCAAGAGAAGGCTAGGTCGGACAAAAGGAGTTCGTACAAAAATTTTAGAGCGAAGTAGGTTGGACGAATTTCGAAAGGTCGGATAAAAAGAGGTCGTACAAACGATGTGCTCCGGACTTTCCCGAGTCCCTCGGCCTGAGCCATCTTGTCCTATTGGCCTGTGCAGACCGTGCAGGCCACCGTGCACTGCCGCGAGCTGGAGCTGCACGGCTGGGCGTGCGTGCTGCGCGCGCCGTGCTGCACGCTGTCCTCCCTCGAGCTGGTCGTCTCGGCGGACGGCGACAGCAGGCTGGAGCCGCTGTTCTCGGCGCTGGCCAGCAACCGGTCCGTGCGCACCATCCGCGTGTCCACGCTGCTCGGCCACGAGCTGTCCGCGCACCAGCTGCACCGCCTGGCCAAGCTGCTGCACTCCGTGCTGGCCCGCGCGCGCACGCACGCCTTCGAGCTGGTGGTGGCCTGCCTGGAGGACAGCGCGCACGACCGCTTCCAGTGCCTGGTGGACGCGCTGTGCGCCGGCTTGCGCTCGCCGTCGTGCGCCATGTCGCGCCTGCTCGTCGACGTGAACCTCAGCTGCTCGCAACTGCAGCAGGTGCTGTCGTCCCTGCGCGGCTCGGCCGTGCGCACCTTGCAGCTGCCGCACCTGGGCTGCGGCTCGGCCGGCCTGCGCGCGCTCACCCAGCACCTGCGCCAGCACCACGCCATCGACGCCCTCAGCCTGGCCGGGTCCTGGGGCGCGCGCAACCACGGCGCGTCCGAGAGTGGCGGCAGTGTCGGTGAGTAGACGCCGGGTGCATCCCAGCGGCCATCGCTATCGAAGCGAGGGGTGAATCACTCAGCGTTCTGTTGTACACATGAGTACATGAGTACGGGTGAGTACACCTTGCTTTACTCATAAATTTCACAATTTTATACGTTTTAAGGCTTTTTTTAACGGCACTCAACGTTAAATCGGTCGAAAAACTAGAGAATTTGGCCCTTTTTAAACTTGTGAGTACACTGAGTACGGGCAAATTTGTACACATGAGTACACTAGTGATTCACCCCTCGTATCGAAGGCCCAGACAGTAGGCCAGACGGCTCACTCGCACATGGTCCTCTCTTATCTCTCTGACTGGGCGCGTCACAGCCTCGCAGGGAAAGGCGACAACTCGGTGACGTCAAAGCACTCTCATCCGATGGCTCAGCCAAAGCCGCCCGAGTTGTCGCCTCTCCCCCCAGAAGTCTTCCCTCGCCCTCGCCGCTGGGCAAGTGAAGCAAGTCGAGCCGGGGAGCGCCTGGCAGCATCGGCACTGGCGCCGCGCGGCCGCCTCGCGGGCTGGCCTACCCTCGTTGCCGCAGGCGCTTCGGGTAGCCGTCGCCGGCACGTCAGCCTCGTGTCTGCCGCCCTGCCGGTGGGCCGGAGGGAAGAAGGGGAGGGGCGGCGCGGCGGGGCGGCTCCACCAACTTCCCGCCACTTCACGTCCAACAAGTTCGGATCCGCCCGCCGCCCCACAGCCCGACGGCGCGTCGCGCGTTGTCACAGCGTTGTCACAGCGTTGGCTCTGAGACGTGTTCGTGTCCCTTGCTGCAGGTTCGGGCGGCTCTGGCCCCGCGGGGTGCAGCGCCTTCTCGTCGCTGCCGCGCGGCGCGCTCGGCCTGCACGGCTCCCTGTCGCGGCCCGCCACGCTGCCCCGCCAGCCCCTCGCCGCGCACATCCTGGGCGGCCCCGGGACCAACGACTCTGGCTACGGCAGCGCTGACACCAAGCGCGGCTCCGACTCGGTGAGCAGTGCCTCCAGTGCCTCGTCTCGCTGTCTCTCTCGCACACCGAGCGGACGCCCTGTGTGTGCGAGAGAGACGGCCAGTGTGGCCATTACCCTCGGCCCGTGGCCATTAGACCACCGCCGCCGTGTGTTTCTAATTGCGCGCCCTGCTTCGCCCTGCTCCGCCTGCCGCAGCTGCTGTGGCGCGGCCAGGCCACCGGGGCGCTGCCCGTGTGCGACGTGGCCTCGCACGTCGGCTCCGGCTTCCACGACGTGTTCGACGCCATCCGGGACGCCAGCTGCCAGCTGCGCAACCTCAACGTCAGTGAGTATCGAGGCGGGCTGTCGCTGCCGGAGTGCGAGTGGCGTGCCGAGTGGCGTGCCGAGTGGCGTGGCGACGGCTCACGGTGTGCTCCGATTCCTCGCAGGCAAGTGCCTGCTCACCCCGGGGGACGCTACCTGCCTCGGCGCCGCGGTCCGCGGGGGCTGCCTCACCGCGCTGCGACTGGAGGGCGCCGCGCGCCTGTGGGAGGTAAGCCCTGAGCCCCCACCCTTTTCATTCTTTCTCCCCGATTCGTTTTGGAGGTTTGCTGACACCGCCCGGCGGCGCTGCCCCGCTGCCCCGCACAGGTGCTGCCGGCGCTGCTCGCCCTGGCCGCCGACCCGCCGCTGCAGCTCCTGGACGCCTCCTCGCCCCGCCTGTCCCTGACGGACGGCCCCGCCCACCAGGTCTTCACCGCGCTCGCCAAGAACACCAACCTCCGCCTGCTGTCCCTGGACGGCTGGACCTTCCGCTTCGAGGCGAGTGTCATGGCACGTCTCTGGACCACCGTGGGCTGGGGACAGTAGTGCCACTCCGCACAGAAGGCACTGGCCGCAATGTTGAAAAACTCGTAACTATTTAATTACATTGTAAAGAAGCAATCGACACCGCTGGCCAAATAGAAGGCACCGCCCTCTTTGGGAAACTTCACAGTGGCGTGCCTGCTCCTGGATGTGCATCCCTGCGCTGCCCCGCACCGGGACGCTGCAGCCTCCGCCTTCCGCGGCTCCGCGAGGCTCTCAAGACGGAAGGCGCGGAAAGCGCGGCCCGGAGAGGGGGCGTGGAATTGCGGAAACTTTGAGGGACCAGGTGGGCCGTAGAGCCCTTGGAATGCCGTGGGATGCCGTGGGATGCCGTGGGATGCCGGCGGGGCGGGGGAGGGGGGCGGGGGGTAATGTCTCCCGGGACGCCCCGCGTACTTGTCTTCCGTGCCGTGCGGGTAGACGGGGCGGACGGGTGGACTGGCACGCCGCGTGACGTAGTGACGCAGTGGGTGGCGGGCCCCGTTGAGTTATGGGTCCGGGACACAGTCCTCGCCGCGTCGCCGCGTCGCCGCGCGGACAGACTGTCGTAACACGCCCGGACTGCAAAGCGCCGCGCCGCGCCGCCCCATCCGTCAGGGGCTGCCGGGGGCTGCACAGCTGCAATGCGTGGCTGTACGTGACGACGGCCTTTTCCTCGTCCCGCAGGAGGAGACGACGCTGCGCGACTTCGTGTCGCTGATGAACCGCACGGGCGTCCGCGACCTCTCGCTGTCGGGCTGCCGCCTGCACTGCGTGGCGTCCGGCGGCTTGGCGCGCGGCGACGCCGAGCTGCAGGCCCTGCTGCTGGCCTCCCTGGCCGCCAGCGCGCCCGACCTCCCCGCCAGCCTCGCCGCCACGGACCTGCTGTTCCTTCGCCTGGCCGGACTGCAGGTGGGTGGCCGACGTCCGCGACGTCCGCGACGTCGTACCCGGGTCGGCGGCGACGTGTGACGCGTGTGACCGGCGAGGCCGCGTTGTTGCAGGTGTGGGTGCGCGACCGCGTGGCGCTGCGCGGCCCCCAGCTGCTGCCGTTCCTGCGCGGGCTGGGCTCGCTCCGGGAGCTGGACCTGAGCGCCGAGCGCGAGGACGCCACCGGGCCGGCCACCCCCGGCCCCGGACAGCCTGGGCCACTCGTCGTCGACGACAGGGCAAGCTTCGTCCAGGACTCACCGTATTTGCTTTGCAACGCAAATTGTATTGCACTTTTTTGTTGGCTGACGCTGCGCTGCGTGTTTCAGGCCCTGACGGCGTTCTGGGCGGGCCTGGCGGAGAACCTGCGCTCGCTGCAGACGCTGCACATGGCGCACTGGCGGCTGCGCCTGGACGACCCAGACAAGACCCTGAAGGCCGTCGCCAAGTCCATGCGCAGCTGCCCCCTGGTGGCCCTGCGCGCGGACGGACTCATCGCCTGCGACCCCAACAAGTGCGTCTCGGTGGTGAGGTGTGGCCCTTTGAGTGTCTGCGGGACCATCTGAGTGACGACGACTTGCTTCCAGGACGCCGCTGGAGCACCAGTTCCTGCAGACCGCCGCCGCCAGCCTGTGCTGCCTGGGCCGGCTGGGGATGTCCGGCGTGGCGCTGTCGGCGCCGCACGCCACCACGCTGGGCCGCCACATCCGGGACCGCTTCCCGGGGGCGTCCCTGTCGCTGCACGTGGGCAACGTGGCGAGCGCGGCCGTGGCGGCGCTGTCCGCCGCGCTGCAGGACGGCGGCAAGGTGGAGGTGGCGTGCCTGCCCGGCACGGCCGGCATGCCGCCCCAGCTGCGCGTCAACCGGGTGGTCAGCGCCACCAAGTCCAGGCGCTTCCGGACGCGCTTCTCCTCGCTGCGCGACTAGAAGCACTGCCAGCACAAGGAGTGCGTGGACTTGGACTGCGTCCGGGCCGCCGCGGGCACCGGACCGGCCCCACAGTGGGGCCGCAGGGACGCCTTTTCGGCGCCCCTCTCGACGAGCGTATGCCCAGCCTCCAGTGTCTCGCGCTCTTTCTGACTGCTCTCTTGGCTCCCCCGGGGGGGTGAGCGGTGGGCGGGGGCCTCCCTGAATATGGTGCCATATCTTTTTTGCAGACTTGAATCTGCAACTGTAAATTGACCATTTGGAACTCTGTATTGTGGCTCTCGCGTCGAAAAGGCTGTATTTAGGGTCTTGTGCCCCTGTGACCCACAGTCTCTGCCTATTGGCAATCTGTTCAGTATTTAAACATTCCAGAAAGGGGCACCAGAGTGTTGCCTACGATTGGTGTTTATCTCATATGAATATTTCCCTGCTTGCATTCCGAATAGTGTCCTTTGGATGAGATATCTGCAAGCAAAATTGTTAAAAGAGCTGGACTCAAAAAAAAAAAAGGAAAAAAAAGATTTATCAATTAATCTTTGTTCAGTGTTTGTGAGAATTGACTGTGCATCAAAACTTCTTGTTGTTTCCCTCCCTCCATTTTATTTCATTGTTGTTAGAGATGCATGTTTAGCTGCTACGTACCAAGTCATTCAGTTTTCCAGTTTCGAAAGTCACTCCCTTTTCCATTTCCTCATCAGCCAGCTCATTTCAAATTTCATAACATTCCTTTCAAACATCGATTTAATGTTGGGGAGATCGTTAATTCCATAATTAGCATCAAATATTGACTTGAGTTTTGATTGCATCTAAATACAAAGTTCATACTAGTCATTTGTACCAAAACTATTGTAGCTTTAACTGCATCAAACAACCCCTTATACAATTACTGAGTACAAAAAGAGGTCTAGACTTGCTAGACTAAACAAGTTTCTATTTGTGTTTTTGTTATTTAAAGACATGTGATGCACAAATTGGTTTTGCCCTTGTGGCAATTAAAACATTATGTTATCTTGTCAAGGCACCCTCCCTTTATACAGTAAATAATACTATGTTGAAGTAATCCTTGGTTGTAAATTACTTTTTATTTTTTTACAAACATTGTGAGCTGATTAATTTTCAGGCACTGGTAGTTAGGAAAACTCATTGACATTTCAAAAGCACTGTAAACAAGGTCCTTAATGGCCCTCTTAAAATACAAAACTTATTTATAATTATTAGTTTATAATACATTGTTTTGTTTTCCCTATACAAATAAAGAATTAATTTATATAATCGTGTCAAACTTTTTACAAAACAAACCTGATCAAAAGCAATTTCAGCAGGCAAGAAAGCTGAGAATAACACCTGAGGAGGACAATCCGGTACCTCAAACCAAGGCAAGGGACTCGAATCGAGCCGCTTGAGGGGTCGACCCCGACAGAAAACTGAGTGCAAAAAGAAAATTAAAATAGGCTTAGTCGATTTTCATTTCGGTCGAAAGCAGCGTTTTACTGGAGAAAATCGGGAATCAGTTGAGCCTTGAGAGGAGGAGCCACGGGCCTCTCAAGGTTGAGCTTGCGCCTGCTTGCGCCAGTAAGGTAGGCAACCCATCGTTCAGCAACAACGTTCATGGAGAAAGTCATTTTCACACCAAATAGAATGCGCCAAAGACCATTGAGCACCGGGCGCAATAAATTTCCGTTTGTCTATAGGAAACGACTGTTTCGTCCAGAAAGGGTCCTCGAAATATTGTCAGGAGTCAGTAGGAAGTGCTCCAGCACAACGTACTTCAGCAGGCACTCCTTCGAAAACCTGGATGTTGCCTTGTTGGCAGGCTGAGGTTGGTCACCGTGTCAAAACTGGTGCATCCTGGCATGTTTGCAGTGGCAACACTGGGCGGAGCTGGTGGCTGGCCGCGGCGGCGCGGCCTTGCGATAAAGGCCTTCCTGAAGCAGTTGTTGTCGATCGCCTCGAGCCCAGGGCCACCCAGGGCCCAGAGTAGCCAAGCAGCTGCAGCGAGTCGACCGCGACGGCCTCCGTCCTACCACACTGGCAGTCCTCGTCGTCCAGCCATGCTGCTGCGGGGCGTGTGGCGAGGCTTGCGGCACCGCGTGGCCGCCGCGTGCAGCCCGTGCATCCCCCGGGCCTACTCGGCCGCCTGCTCGGAAGGCCCCGGGTCCGCCATCAAGTACGAGGTGTGGACCGTGGGGCGGTTGGTGCTGAGGCGCTATAGAGAGCCTAGAGAGCTCTGGGCACGGTGGCAGGCATGTTTCTTTCTCCCGTAGAACCGTGTCATCAACTTCATGAAAACCGAAGGAGGACGACCAGTTTCATGTTACAAAATCTATGACGACGTTATCCCGTTTTGAAGTACACTGCTCGATAAATTGAGCATGGACCTGAAAGGGAGAGGCCACACGATCCTTCCCCCACCCGCCCACTATCCAGCTCCAACAAAACTTGAGACATGATGGCGTTTGCTGGATTGAACACATGACAATAATGTTTGGTCATTTTGAACAGATAAAATCACTCAAATCGTGGTAACTGAGTATTCAGTTGTGCTCCTTGAGTAATTCCTGACACTACGTCAGAGTCAGTTTCACCTACAAAAAGTCTTGTCCTTTTTTTTTTCACATGAGTGAATGCTCTGGCTGACCACTAAAGACAAGGGCAAAACATCAATAACGAGAAGGTTACTTTACACTTTTCTACAAACTATTGGTGAAAAGCTACTGAGTTTTGTTGAATATTAGCAGGTGAAATTGGAGACGAATTTGTCTTTCGGTTCTCCTTTAATTTTCAATCAAGTGGGTCTCACTCCTGCTCTCCTTCCGCAGATGCCTGAGCATCTCCAGAGCATGCCTCAGGAGCGCGACCCGCTGTTCACGGCCATGGTGGCCTACAACTACCACTCCGCCGTGGCCAAGCTGGTGCCCATGTTCGAGAAGTCCATGAAGGGGCGGCAGCGGCTGACGGACGGCCAGCGCAAGCACCGCGTCGAGGGCATCATGCGCATCATGGGCTCCTGCTCCGCCTGCGTCGAGGTGCCTCGAACGACCTCTCGAACGACCTCTCGAACGGGTTCGAGTTGGTCACTGCGAGGGCAGCAACCCTTCATGCCTTCTAGCGATTGAATTGCGAGTAAGCCGCCGAGCAGGCGCAGGAGCGTGACGCAGAGCAAGCTTGACCGACGCGATGTTCTTTCCTGACGAAGGTCACGTTCCCCGTCAAGCTGGACGACGGCTCGTTCACCCTCATCACCGGCTACAGAGCGCACCACAGCGTGCACAAGATTCCGGTCAAGGGAGGTGAGTGGCTTCCCGGCCGTCCGGCGAGTCGAGGGTCTTGGGGGTCTTGGGGGAGGCCGCGCTCAGCCCACCGCCCCGGCTTGTGCAGGCATCCGGTTCAGCTCGGACGTGTGCTCCGACGAGGTGAAGGGCTTGGCGGCCCTCATGTCCTACAAGACGGCGTGCGTCAACGCGCCCTTCGGCGGCGCCAAGGGCGGCATCAAGATCAACCCCAAGGACTACAGCGAGAACGAGCTGGAGAAGATCACGCGGAGGTACACCCTGGAGCTGGTGAAGCGAGGCTTCATCGGTGAGTGCGGGCCTCGGTGCGGTGCGGTACGGCGGCCACGGTGGGCCTCGCGGTCTCCATGCACATCCTGCCACCAGGCCCCGGCATCGACGTGCCCGCGCCCGACATGAACACGGGGCCGCTGGAGATGAGCTGGATCGCCGACCAGTACGCCAAGACGCTCGGTAAGCCTTGCGTGCTGCTTGCTCGCCGACGCCGTGCCAAACCACTTTGCAAAACGAGCACGGCGCCCGTCCGGCCGCAGGGCACGCGGACATCAACTCGTACGCCACGGTGACGGGCAAGCCCATCAACCTGGGCGGCGTGGCGGGGCGCCAGGACGCCACGGGCCGCGGCGTGTACCTGGGCACCAACAGCTTCATCAAGGAGGAGGCGCTCATGCAGCAGATTGGACTCACGCCGGGCTGGAAGGACAAGACGTACGTGGTGCAGGTGGGGGTACACGCGGCGCGGGTTCAAACCGAGGCACCAGCCGAGGTTCCAGCCATGGCGGCGGGCCGCGTCCTCGCCGTCCTCACTGACAGCTCGGCGCGCGGCACTGCGCGGCACGCAGGGCTTCGGCAACGTCGGCTTCCACACGGCGCGGTTCTTCACCAAGGCGGGCGCCCGGTGCATCGGCGTCGTCGAGTGGGACTGCGCCATCCGCAGCTGCGATGGCATCAACCCGCACGTGAGTGAGGGGTGGGGGGTGGAGGCAGAAGGACAACCCCGCACAGTGGGCCAGAAGACCAGTGGAGGTGGCCAACTCAAGACGCGTTTTGAGCTCCAGAGTCGCTAAATGGGACTCGAACCGAACGTTGACCCCACCCACCAATGGATTCCTCGTTCGGAGAGCAACCCATTGGTGGGGTCACACGTTCGGTTCGAGTCCTGCTCAGCGACTCTGGAGCTCAAAACGCGTCTAGAGTTTGGCCGCCTCCACCGGTCTTCTGACCCACTGTGCCCCGCCGCCGTGCTTGCGTGCCGCGTGCGCTGCGTTGCCTACCCGCCAGGCGCTTCGTCGGCTTGTCGCGCAGGAGCTGCTGGAGCACATGAAGCGGACCGGCAGCATCAAGGACTTCCCCGGGACGGAGCCCGTGGACCGCGAGGAGATGCTGCTCGCCGAGTGCGACATCCTCGCGCCCTGCGCCACCGAGAAGGTCATCCACCTGGACAACGCCGACAAGGTCAAGGCCAAGGTAGACAATATTTTTCGAAAAGGAAACTGCCCGGACTGCCAGACAGGCGCTTTGATTCCATTTTTCTTCTCCAGATCATCGCGGAGGGAGCTAATGGACCGCTCACACCAGCTGCGGATAAAATACTGATGGAAAAAAAGGTGCTCATAATCCCGGACATTTATCTGAATGCAGGCGGAGTCACGGTGTCCTACTTTGAATGGGTGAAGAATGTCAACCATAAATCCTTTGGACGACTTAGTCTCAAATATGAGGAGATGACACAGTTGCATCTTCTAGGTATGTAGAAATAGGCTTGTAAAATTACACTATGATAGAATTTTTAAAACATGAATTCCCACTGACTTTGACAGATTCGGTTCAAAAGTCACTGAATAAATCACTACCAAATTGCAACATAGAAATACACCCCTCTGATGAATTCAAGCGTAGGTTGTTGGACGCATCAGAAAAGGAAATTGTTCGAGCCAGCTTAGAGGCAACGATGGAGAAAACTGCTGGGGTTTGTGCCAGTGCTTCGCCTTAACTTATTCAAAAGAATATGATTAATTACAATTTGCCTGCATTTATCCTGTTTTTGTCTTTTCAGGAAATTAAGTTTATGGCTAAAGAACACAATTTAGGCATCAACATGAGAATTGCTGCCTATTGCAATGCCCTTTATAAGATCTATAAGTGTTATGAAGAAGCTGGACTGACTTTATGATGTCTGGGCAATGTTTTAATTTTTGACTGTGAAAGCTGTACAATGTATGATTAGAATCTGAGGCCTTGTTATTTTGGTAGCTCACATGTATTTGCTATCAGCTTGACTTTTGACGATTACTCTTGGTAATGTGAAAGATTATGAAAGGAACACTTCTGCCGCCACATATTCAGTCACATGTAGATAGTTCTTGTGCCACCAAGGGACAAGGGAAAGCATTTCAACGCAGAGTTCAGTAAACTCGAGTAAACTGGTTTATCAAAAGTACACAAAATCACAGGTATCAAAGTACACAACAGCCAATCGACATAAATTATGTATGTACAATCTCATACAATTATAAAATACTTTTACTTAATCCAAAACACAAAAACATTAAAGGCATTGGTTCAACAGTCTCTAACAACTCAGATGAAAAAAATAATTAATGGCCAATGCAATTTAATGCAATAGCTAATGAAAATTTAATCAGTTTAGTAAAATGTCAGGAATGTCAAACATTACTGGCTGAGGAAGGTTTTTCACCAGACCTGCAGAGAGATGTAGAAAACCAAATTTACATAAATTCATAAAACAAAACAAAAACTGCACATAATAAACATTTAACACACTCACCGCAGTTCATCTCGTACACCCATTATCAATTTTCCCAACTTGTTTTGGCCTGGACTATTTTTGTGCTTTGGACACACACAGGAGCCCCAGACGTTGTCATGCCATGCGTTCCCTTCAATCAGTTCAGCGTTTCCAGTGGCCAGTAGCAAGTTGCCTAACTGGCTATTAGGTGCAAATTTGAGGGCAAGAATGTCATGCATGATGTCCATCTGTCGTGACAAAAATATTGAAATGAAAATGTAAACACATAATAAAAAAATAATTTGTGATTTGTAAATCACATTTTTATCAACTTCAGAGATTTTGGAAGATGTAGTGTTATTGAAAAGCAGTCATAAGATGTGCTTCAGTTTACAGCAAAACAATTAAACTAGAAATCAAATGCTCTTTTTTACAAAATTCTGTCCTATCACATACTTTGACTCTTTCCCAGTCTGGCCGGAGAGAAACTTTTCGCCCAACTCTCTTTGCAATGGTTGGGCTGTTGCAATTAAGAAGTTTAAGCTTGGAGGCTTGATCCAAGCACTTGGCAGCCTGGAAGGCATGCTCCACAGTGGGGAATTCTAGACCGTCGTAAACAATAGGGGAATGAAAGAAGTTGCTAAGGAAGTTGTAGTCCCCCCGGAAACTTGTTATCTCAGAAGGAGGACTGGCACTGGGACCACCTGCATGTTCCGCACATAGAAAAGTATGACATCAACAACAAAATAAAGGGCAGGAGACAAATTTTAATTAGAAAGGGCAATAAGTCGATGTGGTTTAAAAGTGAAGAAATTGTTCAAATGAATAAATAAATCAATATTACCAGGTCCAGGTAATTTTGCATCAGCAGGCATCTCGTTAGTATCTGGAGTGAAAAAAAGGAGTTTCACATTGGAGCCCTTAATTATTGCACCATTCAATGAAACCCATGGTTAACAGTGACTAACCTGGGGCCTTTCTCTTGAGAGCCTTCGGCCCCATAATGATCGAGCCACTGAACCTCTACTTGCTTTGGAAACTCTATCGAACGATTTTCGTTTTGATGTGACAGTCTGTCACTGACAGATAACAGATCTCACTACTCTGCTGATGAAATGAAAATGCGAACTGGGTGGAACTCCTGTCAACTACCTGCTCCTGCAAATAACGCGTACGTACTGTACAGAAGGATTTGTCATAGCCGCTATTATAGCCTCGCGCACGCCCACTGTGCTGTGCTGCCCTCTGTCAGCTGAGTGTGAAACTACCAATGTCAACAATACACATTCCGGTGTTGTAATCGCAATTTAGTTATGCATGTATGCACGTTTGTGAGAATGAAGGAAACTGTTGCCGACTGTCACTCCCAGCAATATGTGGAGCCGCCCACCCTATCTCTCCGACACCGATCAATCCAAGAAGAATCTTTGCTTTATGTATGTATTGATCGTCTGCTTTCAAATGATGTGGCTGACATTGCATTCGCTTGGAGAATAACCACTCTCTTTTCTTGCAGATCTTACCCACGGAGGTTCTGGAAATTATAATTCTACTCCTTGACAGCGTGTCTTCTGTTCGACTCGCTTGTACATGCGCCAAATTTTATAACCTTGTGAATGAGGTGTGGTGCACAGTACTATCCTCCACTTTACTGCTGAAATTTGTCGTAATTCTTTTTGAGTGGAATTGAATCGTACCGATCTATTTCAGACTGCTCCTTGGAACAACTTTGTTCGTCATGAAATAAGTGAGAAGCGTGAATTATTAGACCTTGGCCTTCACTTCGGTGTGCCTCTATGGAGAAGATCATTGGGGACATTAAATCATGCTCCCTGGAAGCAAATTGTATACAGCCGCAAAATTTGTAATGCTATCAGCAATTGGGACTTCACGTTGGCCTTTGAAACTTCTATCCAGATGGATGATATAACATCCGTTGATATTGCAGGTATTGCAAGTTATGTTTTACTTTTTCTCCTTTATTGTGATATATTTGCTTGCTCTGAGGTTCAATTATGTGTATATGTCTTAGGTCAAGCTGTTGTTTTTGGGACACGCAGAGGTGGTCTGGCCCTTTGGAACCCTGATGAATATGGACTTTTTATAAATACTATTCTGCACGCTACTGCTGAAATTGACCAAATTTTCGTGCATTTATCTTCAGGTAATGTTTTACTGTATCTATTCAAAGTTTTAGTCCTGCATATGATTAATCAAATTTCAATTTCTGATTTTGTTTATAGGTTGCAGAGGTGATAATTTTGATTACCGAGTGATAGTTCATAGTATTGACACAGCATTAATTATATACGACATGTCAGGATATACCTTAGTTAGTGGTGTATCAAAAATGAAGGACTTAAAAAAGATATCGTGAGTGCTGATTGATCTGATTGAAGTGCCAGCTTCTACAAAGCTTCTGTACAAGATTGTATATTACAAATTATTTCAGGAATCATGGAGAAAGCTTGGTTGAATGGGACCCAATCCGTGGACATAGTGCAGACACAACCATCAGAGAAAAATTGATCCAGAGATGTGTAAATTTTACAAATATGCATGCACGCTGTGGTCCATTTTCTGCTATTGATACTTTTGAGGTCTGTTACTATGTAGTTCCATCTCAAATGTTTTTCATGTTTTATCTTTATCATTTCCTGAAAAGTATATTTCCCTTTGCAGCATTTGTATGTCAGCCAAAGTAAAGGACCCTTAATTTTGAGACCTTCTTCATGCCGGAACATACCCATAATAGAACAACTTTTAGCCACACCAGACAATTTGAACATAGCTAAATCTTTCATTTGGCCAGGAAGGATTTCTTTCAGTATAACTAGTAAGTTTTCATAATGCTCTGATCCTTCAGCACATTGATTGTAAGGTAACATTGGGTGATGTGTATATTAAAAAGAAGTATTATATATTTTTCAGGTGGTAGAGTTACAATCATTTCTGTTGGAGAAAAATGCAAATCAATCAGATGGCCAAATACTTTCAGATGTGTCAGTGCCAATCTGTTTACTAATGTTTTAGCAGTTGGTACTGATTGTGGTAAGTAATGGTTTTCTTGTGGAAATGACAGCTTTTGGTTTAACATGCTTTTGAATATTCTCCTCACTCTTTCTGTTGTAGGTCAAGTTTTATTGTATACCTTCAAATCTCCATTGGAGCTCCTAAACTTAGATCCTCTTAATCATCAGAAATCCCTTAGCACAGGAACAGCAGAACCTATCATATACGTAGGTTTAAGAGCACCAAACCATGTGCATCACCTCCCTGATGTTGTGGCTGCAACACGACGTTCATTGTTTTGTTTTAGAACTGTCAGCTAGAAAAGTGGTTGCTGTGATTTCAAACTTAAATTAATTTTAAAACTAGGCTTGCTTCTTTTGTTATATTTTAACATGAATCTGATTGTAATTAACTGGGTTGTGAACAACCTCTCCCTGTGATTTAATATTTTATTGACTCAGTTTAAAAATAAATACACTGATCCAATGTGAATAATTTAATCCCTATTTACGAGCGTTCCTGTCCAGATGTAAAATTTAAGTGAAACTTAGAAATCTTGTTCTCATAGCAAATTTTTTTGATTTTCTTGTATGACATATTGCCATATGGTCAAAATGATATTGAACAGCTAATGTTTGAAAGCTATTTTTGTGCATTGGCAACCATGGTTTTCCTTCAATGGAAAGATATGCTCTGTTTCTACCATGGTTTTCCTTCAATTGAAAGATATGCTCTGTTTCTATTTCGGAGAAGAGAGTTGTAATCTTAAAAAGCTGAGAGGTATACAAATAATCACACAATAAAAGACTTTCAGTTAGATTTATTCAGTCAGTCTGTCAATAGATACAAATAGGTCGGAGTATTTTGATAATTGACAAACTTAAAATGTAAGAGATCAAAAGGTCCTATCCACATTCACAGCCTGAGGCTTTGTCTGTATGTGTCACACACAACCAGCTTTACATGACAAAAACACAACTATCACCCAGTACATACATCTCATTAGGGCAATATCTTATCACAGTTTACAAAAATTTACACACACACTTTTATAGTCATTCATTTACATTACAAAAAGTTCTCAAAAATTCAAGCAATTTCATAAATATTTTGAAAATAGAGAAAAAGGAACTCACAGAATGACATCATGGGCTTAAACTATACACTCCTCATATTCCAGAGGAGTGGGTGAAAAGTATTGCAAACTTAAGACAAAGTTGCCTCGGACTACAGATTTGTCTTCACACAGGCACTCAGGCTGTAGTCCTCACACCCTCAGGGCTCGCCTCTGACTCTCGAGGCACCACGTCCTCTTCTGCACCCCCCCGCTCGCCCTCGTCCCCATGGCCGTGACCGAGGCCGTGACCATCCCCAGCCTCCCCGTCGCCCCTCTGCACTGCGGCGTCCAGGACGGCCGCCAGCTCCGACTGGGCCTTCTTGAGCTTGGCCGCGGCGGCGCGGTGCTTCTTGGTGCCGAGGTGGATGTTGTACTGCTGCAGCCCCATGAGGTCTCGCTGGCACAGCTCGCACCGGTAGGTGGCGTGCCGCTCCTTGGCCGGCAGCGCGGTGCCCTCCTTGGGCACGGCCCGGATCACGGCCTCGTCGGGGTCCTCGCCGCGCAGGCGGGCCTCCACCACGGCCGCGGCCGGCGCCGCCACCAGCTCGTCCCACCGCGACGGGTCCGAGCCATCCAGCGGCCACACCGGCGGCACCTGCGGGCCAGACACAAACATCCAACTTTAAAGAGCACTAAGAAAAGAGGAAACAACATATGCTTGTCGATGGTGGTATGTTCAGTGGGGGTCCCGAAATAATGGCAAAACTGCTCTACAAGTCACCAGCCGTCTAGTCATGTGGGTTTGGCTTCGGTTTACATTGAGCGCCTGTGAGGTAGGCCACCGCCCCGTCTCGCAACGCACCTGCGTGGAGACGGTGGCCTACCTTGCCCCCGTCGTCTTCACAGGGGCAGGGTGAGCCGCCGTCCGCACGCCGGTGTGTTGCGGGGCGGGACAGTGGGCAAGCAAAGTGGGCGGCTGCCAAAGCCAAGCGACTCCACGGCCTGAGCCTGCCGGTCCTCGTCCTCGGTACTCACGTCTCTGCCGTGGACGAGCAGCCGGTTCCGGATCCAGGCCTCCTGCTTCCTGGCGTAGCGCATGTTGCGCTGCTTGAGGAGGAGCAGGCCTTGCTCCAGCGCCTTCTTGCCCGCCTCCGAAGCGCGCTCCTCGGCCGACAGCGCCGCGTACGGCAGCATCTCCTTGAAGCCGATGCTCTGGAACAGGCTGTGCTCAAAGTCCTGGCTCCTGGAACAGAACAACACCGCGGGCGTTAGGCAAAGCGCCGTCAAGTCAAGTGCGGAGCGTCACACGGAGCGCCGCGAGGCTAGGCAGCCCAACGCGCACACAAAGGGATGCATCGCGTCGGGAAAGCTCGTTTCTTTCCGCAAATTCTTTATTTTCGGCAGCGTCGCGCTCATTGTCCGACCGGCCGAGCATGTGGTCTCTGAAGGGCGTCATTGACTGGAATTTCAAATGGCATAAATCGCGCCGCCGATCAGGGACCGGGGATCAGGGTTCGCCCGAGGGGTGTTTGACCACTCGCCTGTCCGAGGGGCCGCGTGCGAACGGTGCGAACCCGCCGCCGGAACTGGCGCGTCATGCCCGTCGCCGTCGCCCTGCACCACGCCAACCACGCCCCGGCGGCCCCGGCCGTCGCCGCCACCCCGGACGCAGCCCGGACGGCCCGGGCGCGCCTTGCTCGTATCGGACGCGCTCCGGGCCGATCTCGTTTTCGGGCGTTAAGGCAGCGCGTCGGCATGGCGGTCTTTGGTCCGCGCGTGTCTGCCCGTGCCGTGGCACGCCCGGCATGCCCCACGGCGAGGCGACGGCACTTCGGGACGGCCCCCGCGGCCCCGCCCCGACCGCCAATACGCGGTGCGCCGCGGCGTGGCCTACCTGTGCGGGGGTCGCTTGGCGTGCGTGCGTGCGTGCGTGCGTTTCTTTCATTCCATTTCTGTAAAAAGCTGTAACCACGGCAGCAAGCCCGCCGATAAGCGCAAAGGCACCGCTGCCAGTGTAGTTGCGCCGCTGCACGTGGCCTGCCTGGGCAGTGCCTGCACTGCGACTCGCGGTTCGCGGCCAAAGTCGCCAAAGTCGCGGCGTCCGCCGCAGTGGCGGTGCAATTCGTCAGCAATTAGAGGGCCGCGGTTGCGACAGGCCGACAGGCCGACCACGGGTCACCGTCACCACGAGCATGGCCTGCACGGGGTGCTCGGGGGGCGCGTCCTTTCCCAGATTGCTGAGCCGGCCAATGTAGTCACAAAGTAAAGGCGCGATAACCGGGCGGCGGTCGCGGTCCGCCTGGCGGGGCGGGGCGGGGCGGGGCGGGCCGGGCACGCAACATGTGCCGAAGTCAGCGAGGGTTACCCAACCCGCTCAACCCGCGCGGCAAGCAGCTCATTCAGTCCGGGCACATTCCATTACAGTGCGCATGACAGTCCGAGACGCCCGAAAGAAAACGATGGCTCGTCAAGAATACAAAACTCGCGCACGAAACATCGCACCTGGCATGGACGCATTAGCTTTGCGGTGATCGTGGACACTGGACATGCGGCGAACCAATCGGCCGAGGGGTGGGCCTAGGGCTGGGCCGACAATTCTACTGACGCACAGTGGCCGGTGGAGGCGGCCAAAACTCTAGACGCGTTTTGAGCTCCAGAGTCACTAAATGGAACTCAAACCGAACGTGTGACCCCACCAATGGATTGCTCTTCGAACGAGGGATCGATTGGTGGGGTCACCCCGCCGTCCTCGCCGCCGCGCGGTAGGCAACCCTTCGCGCTCGGCCGGATGGATTCCAGGCAGTGCGTGCGTCTCTCTCGCACTCATGGGGCGGCCTGTGGTTGTCTATGGGAGAGGGAGAGAGACAGAGCGACACTGCTGTCGGTGGACGGAAGGCTTCAGGCCGTCCAGTCCGTCCCTTCCCCAACGAACCTCCGCGTTGCCTGCACTGCCTGGGCCGCTTGGGCCGCTTTGGCGCCAAAACGTGTCTCTGCAACGATAAGCCCAAAACGGCCTCGGCTGCTCAAAACGGCCGTTGAACCCAAAGCCAGGCATCTGATAGAGCGGCAGTGAATGAAAGAGTGTAACCCGAACGTGTCGCAAGACGCGGCCTGGGCCAAGGCCTGCCAAGGCTGGGCTTGCCAAAGCGACAATCGCATAGGGCGGCACTGCCGTTCTCGCTGAGACGAACCGAACACGCTCCCGTGAACTGAAACTGATTCGCAACAGCCCGCAACAGGCAGCCTGCCACGCGCGGCCAAAATGCGACGCATCCGCAAAATGTTATCTGGAGAGGGAGCAGGCCGAGCAGGCCGAGCAAGGCGGGGCGGAAAGTGGCGCGCACAGCACACTGCCTTCGTCTCTCTCGCACCTCAGCGGGACGCCCCTTGAGTGCGAGAGAGACGGAGCGACGAAAACGACTCGCGGATTCAGTCTGCAGCCGATCTATTCGCAGAGACGCCTCGCCTTGCCTTCTCCACTCCGCGAGGCGCCGCGAGGGGGAGGGGCCTTTGGGTTGCGCTATGCGAAATCACGCGCTCAGACGCAGTCAAACAGCACTCAGACGAAACCAACGAAACCCCGCCGAACCTTGTTGCATCCCTCCAGGCGGGGCAGCGGGTTCCAGTCGGCTCCAGTCCCGCCACAGCGGCCATTCCTCGCACTCTGCACCCCCTCTTCGATTAATAAGCGTTCCATCACGGCGTGCCCGGCATGCTCGGACGGGCTGAACCAACGAGGTACTCACGGCCGCCACATATGGCTGGAGGAAAGTCAAAATGGCGGCCATTTCTCACATGACCAACCAAACAATGATGACTAGTGGACAAAATAAAAAAAGAAAAAACAAATATAAAACAAATGTGAAGCTCGGCAAAAGTTTTGATCACGAAGGCTCCTGGACGAAAAGAAAAGAAGTCGACGGATTTGTTTACTTTGAAGTGCCGAGCTGACCGCGCGTCCAAACTTGAAATCGTTTGCAACACGTTTCGGACAACTGCTAAATAAATAAAAACGCCTGCCACTGGGAGGAAAACAAGCGAGTCACACACACGCACACACACACACGAACGAGACGGCCCAAAAATGAACGCTGTACACCTCTGTATACTCCGTAGACGCGGCTGCCGGCCGGCCGGGCCCACGCGGGTCATGCACCTCGCGATGTACAGTCCGAGACCAATCTGACCTTCATAGAAGTGTGGTGGCGCAGCGCCACGGCGTGGTCACAGCGTGGTCACAGCATGGTCACAGCGTGGTCACGGCGTGGTCACGGCGAGGTCACGGCGTGGTCACGGCGAGGTCACAGCGTGGTCACAGCGTGGTCACGGCGTGGTCACGGCGAGGTCACAGCGTGGTCACAGCGTGGTCACGGCATGGTCACAGCATGGTCACAGCGTGGTCCCGGCGTGGTCACCAGGTGGTCACGGCGTGGTCACGGCGAGGTTACAGCGTGGTCACCAGGTGGTCACGGCGTGGTCACGGCGAGGTCACAGCGTGGTCACCAGGTGGTCACGGCGTGGTCACGGCGAGGTCACAGCGTGGTCACAAGCGCGGTCACGGCGCCCCCTGCTGGACGCGACCGGAGATCCTTCGCGCTGCACCCAAATTCGAGCTCCAGTCCAGCTGAGCCCTTCGCTCGGCTTCCAGCCAAACACGACGTTTGTCCTCTGTGTTTCCGCAGGCCGCTGAGCGCACGGCGGCGCACGGCGCATCGGCCCTCCAGGGCTCAAGGGCCGCGTCGTCGCGTCGCGCGTCGCAAGGACACGCGAGGCGAGGAGGCGATGCCCCGCGTCTCCCTCCTTGCACCAGGAGCTGGAGCTCTTGGAGACGGACTTTGGCGCCTTTCGAGTTTTTCCCCGCGGCCGCGGAACGAGATGGCCAGCTGAGCGAGACGGCCGGGCGGCGCTCCGCCTCTCCACGCCACGCGTAGGCAGGGCGGGGCGGGCGGGACCATCAACACTTGCCAGGAATAGCACGCCATTTGGGCGATTAAAGCGGCGAAAGCCCTTGCCGCTCAAGGTCGCCTCACCTGCACCACACGCTGCTTCCGACCACAGCTTTCGTCGCTCTGTCTCTCTCGCTCTAGCCGGGCGCCCGGAGGGGAGCGAGAGAGACAGAGCGACGCACCACCGAGCGCGGAATCAGCTTGAGGAAAAGGGACGACTAATAGAAAGACAGTCCGACTAACGAGGCTGATTTAAATTCGGCACCAAGTTCGACATCCGCACGGCCGGCCAGCACGGCCCGCCGCTGGAAAAGCCGACCCGCCCGTCCTTGGCCACAATTTATGACTTTGAGATTTCGTTTTCCTCCTCCGAGTCGAGCCGGGCCAGGCTAGAGCCGGGCCGAGCCGAGCCGAGCCGGGCCAGGCTAGAGCCGGGCCGAGCCGAGCCGAGCCCAGCCGGGGATTCGCGCGGCAGAAAGAGAGCGAGGTAGCAATGGCCCGGCGTCCCTGGCCGTGACAGTGGGGCCCGGCTGCCCGGCGGCCCGGCGGGGGCCGCGGCGTACCCCGCCAAAAAGACGCGGCCCACAGAGCCCGGCGGGCGGAGGAATGCAAGTGCCAGCTCGGGACGAAGTAAGACGCCTGGAGGACAACAACGCCATGCGAGCGCCGCAGTGGCGGCCCGAAACGGCATTCCATCGTTCGCTGTCCAGCCACTCAAGTTCGAGAGCGCCTGCACGTCGCCGGGTAGGCAGCCCGCACGGCCCCGTGCCCGACGGGCGTGCCTGCCGCCCGGGCGCTTCGCCGCGCCTCGCCGCCCGGACAGGGCAACCTGCTTGCTGCTTGTACGTCAGTTCGCGGTTCGCGGCTCGCGGCGCCCCCAGGCGGGCCCCAGACCCCCCAGGCCCCCCAGGCCCCGGGACAGGCCGGCCAGACGGGTCGCTGATAAGGCGGTCGGCTCAAGGATACGTTTGTCTTTTGACAAAGTCACGTTCATTAGGTCCGTCGGCGAATTCCTCGCGCCGATCGCACGGACCGTCCTTGAAGGCTTCCTGCGAGGGCCGCGTTCGGAAGGCCGCGTTCGGAGGGCCGCGTTCGGAGAGCCGCGTTCGGAGAGCCGCGTTCGGAGAGCCGCGTTCGGAGAGCCGCGTTCGGAGAGCCGCGTTCGGAGAGCCGCGTTCGGAGAGCCGCGTTCGGAGGGCCGAGTTCGGAGGGCCGCGTTCGGGGGGCCGCGTTTGGAGAGCCGAGTTCGGAGGGCCGCGTTCGGGGGGCCGCGTTTGGAGAGCCGCGTTCGGAGGGC